AATAAGATAAAAAAATCTTTAATACCCAAGAAACCATCATCATTAAAAATCCCACCTCAAGGGATTATATCGAACCAAGTCTGTCCTCCCAGAACAACAAACCTGTCTCTGGAGAGACAGAGTCCCTGGGAGGGACAGTTAGAGACAGAGTCTCTGGGAGGGACAGTTAGAGACAGAGTCCCTGGGAGGGACAGTTAGAGACAGAGCCCCTGGGAGGGACAGTTAATCTATGAAGCCAGGTTCTGAAACACACGGAAACAGAAACCTGCTTCACGTGCAGTAATCAAGGCGGTTATTTCAGGACACGTCTGCAGGAATATTTAGCATCGTCATCTATCCAGATGATGCTCTCATCTGCTCCCTCCCATCCAGTCAGACATTAGATGTGTGATGATGTTTCGTCACCTCAGATGTAGCGTTTTGACACGTCGGAGTGCTAAAAGCCAACTTATCAGAGAGGACTTTAACACTGCAGCCCCACTAAAAGCCAAGCAGCCACCATGTTTCCTTCCCTCTGTCAGCAGCTAAGAAGTGATTATGGGAAGAACACGACTGGCAGAATAAAACCTGCATCACATAAACTCCCATCTTTGATTAGAATGCGTTTAATTAAAGAACTAAAAGTTAAAACCTGATGGGGAAACGAACCAATGATCCACTGACAAGTTTAGCTTCTCCGTTTATTTGTCAGAGACTGTTTATTGTTTGTTCCATCTCTGGTCCCTAGCCACATGCACACTACATTAGACACACATTACTATAAAAACTTTGAAAAATTAGAACCTTATTATTAGGGTTATTTCAAAATCACAATAAAATAGATTCTAAATTGAGCATAAAATGTAACTTCTATGGTAGGAACAGCTGGACTGATGCTAAAACAGCTGGTTTCCAGGAATGTACTTTTTTTTCAGGTCTACAGAAAACATCCGACCATCTGGGTGCTGATTCCAATGCATAAGGCAAGGCAAGGCAGGTTTGTTTTTATTGCACAATACAGTACAGAGATAATTCATAGTGCTTTACATGAATTAGTTAATATATATATATATATATATATATATATATATATATATATATATATATATATATATATATATATATCATTTATAATAAATTGAGGAGAATAAAATAAAAGCAGAATAAAGCGTGTAATGCTTTTAAATAAAAACGCTATCTGTGCAAAGGCAGCAGGTGTGTTTTTGATGGAGTGAGCAGTGCAGCAGGACTTTGTTCTGAAAAGAGTTTAATGTGGTGATCACATATATATATATACTTATGTTACCCACAGATCACCTTAAAGAATTGTTGTCAAAACATAATTTAGCTCATAAATAAGCACATGGTCCCTTTTGTCAGGCGTTGTTAAAACGTTTGGACAAACTGCTCCTGCAGAACTACAGGCCCATTTCAAACCTGCCCTTCATCAGTAACTATGATCATCTTCCTCATCGTCTTCCTTCCTCTCCACAGTACAGAGACGGACCTCATTAAACCTCAGTACAGCATTAGACACTGTTGATCACTACCTTTTATTTTAAATTTTAAAGTGCCAAGAAATCTGGATCAGCCTGACTGATTTAAATCCTACTGGAAGGACAGAGACTTTAGTGTCAGTAGGAAACTTTACATTAGCAACCAATGAAAGATTTGGGAAGTAAAGCACAGTTAGGCACAGGAAAAAATACCCAAATATAGTTTTTTATTTAACCTTAGAGAAGCATTGCAGAGCATTAACTGGGTTCTGCTATATTTGCCATTCGGGTTTTTCCATATTTGTTTCATTTATTTACCTTCCTGTTAGTTGATTTCTAGTCTGTTTCTCTTGCATATTTTATTTTTGTATTTTTGGATAGATTCTCCATTTTGTGTTTCACTGGTTTTCAGGAATTAGTAGATTTAGTTCACCTGTTATTCCAATTCTTAAGATGTCAAGACAGCTGCTGCCTGCGTCCTCACTAGAACTAAGAAAGTAGAGAACATCAGCCCAGTTCTGAAGTCATTCCTGTCAGAGATTAAACTTTAAAACCATTCTGTTAGTCTAGAAATCCCTGAAAGGCTTCAAAATACATTACACACTGGTTGGCTTTGGATCGACAGCCAGACCTCTCAGGTCTACTGGACCAAACATGAAGGAAACAACTTTTACTCGTTAAGCTCCCTTAAACCAGAATAAACTCCAATAAAACTGTAAAGCTGCTTTAAATCCAGAAAAGAAACCTATTAGCTTAGCTTTGTTTGATTGAAACTTTTCTTTATTTTCTGGTATTAATTAAATGTTTTACAGAAACAAACGTGCTTTCAAATATGGTTTCATTTCACGTCATTAGTGTTTTTAGAGGTTTTATGTTTGTCTTTATCATAAATTAAAAGGTGAAATATTTCTTAGTAAATTATGTTTCTTTTCTTAAAAGCTATATCCTTAGCGGCTCCAGGTGGCTGCAGACGTCTTATTTTGAAAACCTTCCTCTCTTCTTACTATTGCATCGCTCCTCCTTGTTGCCATGGATACGTGTGGCTAATTTTGTAAAGCCATCAGAGTTTGCGGCTATTAAAACCTAATAACATCTGATCAGGTGTTTGTGTTTACATCATGGAGCATTTAAAGCTCTGAGGTCAGTTTGGGTCGGGCTGAAGTTGGACTTCTTCCACCAGACGCCCTGGATGAGTCCCTCCTCCATGTTTCTGAAACATGACCTTTGCTGCAGCCCGTGGCGCCCTGCAGATACACCCACCGTGGGCCGTCATTAACATTCATCATGGAGGAACAAGAAGCCTGGAACAGCATCTAGAAATGTTCATCTTCACTTCCTGGTTTCACTCTGAAATGGGTCTTTAATAGAAGTAACCCCCTGACCTCAATCAAACGGCTGCATTCCTCAGCCTGACTCTGACCCTGGGCTCCTCCACCCACAGGAGGGTCACAGGGACGCCCTTCATCCCAGCCGCCTCCAGGCTCTGAGCAGGCGGACCATAACTCACAGACTCCCAGACATCCCAGACTTTTCTTCTATTTCTAGAATAAAGTTGTGATATTACAAAAATAAAGTCATCAAACAAAAGAAAGCTTGTAGCTCCGCCCAGCAGATGACGGCCGACCAGCTCCACCAATCAGCAACCAGAGTCCACTTTGACATCCTGCCCAGTTTGATGCTGCTGCTAAAAGATTTCCTGATTCGTCTAACCGAAGCTAAAGTAGAACTTCACATGATGCTCCACATTCCTCTTTTTAGGGAAGAAAGGGCTTCTTGGAAGAGTTGTAGTTCAACTTGTTTCTCATAATGTTACGAATTTATTCTCAAAATAGAGGAAAAAAATCTCTAGCCTGGCCCTGATACTCTGTCGTGGGCGTGTATCCCTTTAGTCATGCACGAAAAAAAATAATTTAATGTCAGATCACCATGCTGAATAATAAGTAAATAGTTTTTTTGCACACAAATAAAGGGATGCACGCCCATTGAGGTAGTTTAAAGTTTATTTTTTGTACAAAACTAAAAGGATATGCTGGTCTGATGGAACAGCGGCTCCACTCAGAGGCCCCCAGCCTGCTGCTTCTTCCAGCTGGGACCTCGCTCTAATGAAACCTGAAGAACCAGAACTTCTAGAACTCTGTGTCTCTTCAGGCCGTCTGTCCCTAAAGTCTGGGACGGATCCTTCCTGAGGAACAGGAATAAGTTCCTCTGCTGTTTCCAGACATATCAGACCTTCATGGTCCTCCAGCTGGGTTCTTTGATCGTTCACTCTGCTCCTTGTTCTCCTCTCTCCTCCCTCAGGCTCCGTTCCTCCCTCTCAGTGAATGAGGAGCTCCTCTTCTAAAAGGTCTCCAGATGAATATGCTGTTTGTTTGGATCCTGTTTCCTCTTTCCTTGATCTTCCTTCCTGCTCAGATCTGAAGCTCATTTCTACAGTTTGTTCTTTAACTGCTACAGAACAAAGGTCTCCAATCTTTATCAAACGTATTTAATAGAATTAGATCCCTACTGACCAAACAATGACATCAAACAGGAAGTAAATCATTTGGAGGTGGGAGGGATTTCAGAATTAACCAAAGTTATAAAATAAATGCTGGAGGAGCTGCAGAGATCTGCAGCTCAGGTGGAAGAATCTGCTTCCTGGACTAAACATATCAGACCTTTAAGAAGCAGAGGAGAGACGTTTAAAGGGGAGGAAAACTTTAAAGGCCTGGAGAACTTTGTTCTGTTTCAGAAAGTTAAAATAATGTGAAAAATCATTTAAGATTTCACTGAAAATCAAGAGCTTGACCTTAGAGCCAGATGTGAGGAAATATCTGTTCATCAGACCTCTGAGGATCACAGCCTCCAGAACAGACACGAAGAATTACACAGAAAAAAAAATGGTTTATTTAAAATGTACAAAAGTTATTTACAGACAAACTTAAAACGGATCGACTGAGAAAAGAGCAGAAATTCCTCAGAGATTCAGACAAAATCTACAGAACGACTCAAAAACCGCCTCTGCAGTCCTCTGGAGACGCATGGGGGACAGGGGGGAGGCACGGGGGGGAGGCACGGGGAGGAGACACAGGGGGAGGAGGCATGGGGGAGGAGACAGGGGGAGGGGGCACAAGGAGGAGACAATGGGAGGAGACAATGGGAGCACCCATGGGAGACTAGGGCCCCTATGGTTGGACCTCTGCAGACTTCAGATTCATGTCGATCCTGAATCGATCCTGAAACATCCCAGAATTGTTTGCGTTAGAAAAGCATTTAAATGTAAAGACGCCATTTTTAAACAGAGCTTAAACTCTGGGTTTAATCCTGATGTTTGGAAATGAGCTCCAGTCACAGTTCATCCCGTTTCCATCATCCATCCCATCTGGACTGACTGAGTTCTGATCCTGACCCGCGGGCCGAGCCGAACCGCAGCAGGATCTATCTCCGTATATCTACGCCACGGATCCCTTCCCCAGTACCTGTGTCCTCAGGCGCCCCCAGAAGGCACGGCGTGATCTGATGGGGGCGCCGTGCTGATACACCAGCAGATACCCTGGGCTGTTAGAATATGGCTTTAAACATCAGGAAACCAGTTTTCCCGTTAAACACGATGAAGTCTGAGGGGAATAACAGGAGATCGTCGTGTTCCTGCTGACGGTTAAAAGAACAACCAGTGCTTTCTTTGTTTTCCTGAAGGCGTCCTCGCTGTCGACATGGTAACGGGGGAAGGAGGCGTTCGATGGCTCTCAGCTGATCATGTTGAGGAACTTGCTTTCTTCGGCCAAAGCAGTGAGCATAGAGTTCATGTCTCCGATGGCCATGTTCCCGATCCCCGCGGGGACGGACGTCAGGGTGACGGAGTTGCGAGGCGTGGTGAGACGGGAGGAGCTAGGGGAGAGGCTTTGCAGGAGGCCGGGGCTCAGCGTTCCAGACATCAGGCTAGAGTGATCGCCATCATCCAGCATGGTGTCAAAGTCGATCTGGGCGTGGTCTGCGGCTCCGGTTCGACCACTGGACGAGTCAACGGTACTGCTGGACACCTGGTTGACTCCTGGAGAGGCCAACGCAGCGGGGTGGCTGGCGGAGTCACTGGCACATGGCGATATGATGTCATCCACCCCATTGGACGACGGCTGGAACATGTGAATCTGTCCTGTGTAAAACACGGCGGCGTTCTGGGTGTCGGAGCCGTTATGCTCCGCCCCCTTGCTTTGCCTCTTTGGACTCGCCTCAGACGTGACGGCCATATCGCAGGGACTCGGATCTGTGACTCGGGGGTTTCGGCTGGGCGGGATGATGTCAGGCTTCGGCTTCGGCTCATTGGGCGGCCGGGGCTGGAACATTCCTCTGGTTCCATTTTGGACGCCGTGCTGTGACTGCCTGAAGGGAAAGCTGTAGTTCTGAGGATCCGCCTGGTTTAGGGGGCAGTACCTGTCCATGGCGGTTCTGGTCTTGCCATTTTGCAGTTCAGTGTTTGCCGAGGCGTTGAGGGCGGGCTGCAAGTTTCCAGATCCTGAATAAAGACTTCCCTCCTGGCTGAAGTCCTGCTGATCGCTCATCTGCTCGGTAAAGTAGACGCTGCTGCATTGTCTCTGCTGAAGGGAGGTATTCACTGGCCGCTGGTGGCCATTGTTCAAATAGCCCTGCATAGATAGATTCTGACTCATTGAGCCAACCTGCTGGTTGCCACTCAGGCTCTGAAGTGGCCCAGAGCCGTGCCTCTGCTGGATAACCGCCAGGTTTCCTCTAACCGGATGCTGCGGTGGTGTGGGAAGCTTTGCGGTCGTCTCCATCGTCCCTGAGCTCACTTCGTTCCATTGGACCGGCATGTTGTTCTTGTTCTCTGGCGGTGCTGGGAAAGGCTGCTGGGAGCCACCAGGGCCCCTCTGATAGGTCTGCATATCTTGACCAGACTGTGCCAGGCTGGAGTCCACCATGGCCATCCTCCTCTGCCCGTGAAAGTGCAGCGGTGGGGCCATGCTGGGCTGGTGGCCCAGACTCAGACTGTGGGGGTTATTGTTGTGACTCGTCGGACCAGAATTCTGTGACCTCAGGTACTGAACCACGTCATCTGGGAGCACGATTTCATCTTCAGCACTCGGTTCCCCACCGGCCATCACCCCATCGACCGCCATGTTCTCCATGGCTACGTTCTCAGAAATGCTTGGGGGTCTTGGTGCAAACGGGTAGCGTTGGAGACTTCCGTCGGAGCGAGTGTAGCCCTGCGTAGCCATAGTCTGATGGTGCTCAGCAGCTGAGGGGGGGTTCATGGGATTCACGTTGTTCATGCTGCTGTAACGTTGGACCCTCAGGAGAGAAAGCGGTTCCAGCTGGGCACGGCGGACTGGGTCGCTGGCCCTACGTGGAAGGTTGATCGGTACCTCATGGGGCATCATGCCCAACGAGCCGTATCCATCACTGAACCTCCTGGGCTGCGTTCCAGGCGGCGGCTGAAGGAAGGGCGCCGCTGAGCCTTCCTGGGAGTTGCCGTAGAGAGTCATCCTCGTCCTCAGGCTCATGCGGTCCACGTTAGGGAGAGGAGTGGGCGGAGCTCCGCCGATGGCAGCAGCGTACTTCGCTTTTAGCCGATAATGCTGGGCAGGCGTTAGACTGAGAGGGCTCGGCACGCCTCCCCCACCACCTCCGGGGACGCCACCCCCACCCCCACAGTGACTGGCCTCGCTGGAGCGCCGAGACAGATCGGTGGAGATAGGATCGTACGAGTCAGCGGAACTGATGTTGTTGTGGCGGTTAGCGCCGAACTGGGACGTCTCACTGGAGCGACGGCTGGAGTAGCAGGGCGATATTCCGGAGGATCGTCGGCTGAAGGTGTAGGCGGAGCTAAGGGTGCTGGTGGTGCTATCACGCCGCTCGTTCAGCTGGTTTAGAAGAGTTACTTCAGTTGAAGACAGCTCTTCGATTGGCTGGCCGGGATGCGAGCGGAAGTTACTCATCATGTTGGAGTTCTCCAGCAAGGAACCTAAAAAACAGGACAGAGAGGTGTGATTACAAGAGGAACCTTTAAAGTTCAGACATTTAGTTTGACATTTTCAGAGGGAACATGACTCCTGAGACATGTGTGCTTCAGCTCATCAGGAACTAGAAACAGAAGCTAGGAACTAGGAACAGAAGCTAGGAACTAGGATAGAAAGCTAGGAACTAGGATCAGAAGCTAGGAACTAGGAACAGAAGCTAGGAACTAGGTACGAAAGCTAGGAACTATGATCAGAAGCTAGGAACTAGGAACAGAAGCTAGGAACTAGGATCAGGAACAAGGAACAGAAGCTAGGATCTAGGATCAGGAACTAGGAACAGAAGCTAGGAACTAGGATAGAAAGCTAGGAACTAGGATCAGAAGCTAGGAACTAGGAACAGAAGCTAGGAACTAGGTACGAAAGCTAGGAACTATGATCAGAAGCTAGGAACTAGGAACAGAAGCTAGGAACTAGGATCAGGAACAAGGAACAGAAGCTAGGATCTAGGATCAGGAACTAGGAACAGAAGCTAGGAACTAGGAACAGAAGCTAGGAACTAGGATCAGGAACTAGGAACAGAAGCTAGGAACTAGGAACAGAAGCTAGGAACTAGGATCAGAAGCTAGGAACTAGGATCAGGAACTAGGATCAGAAGCTAGGAACTAGGATCAGGAACTAGGATCAGAAGCTAGGAACTAGGATCAGAAGCTAGGAACTAGGATCAGAAGCTAGGAACTAGGATCAGGAACTAGGAACAGAAGCTAGGAACTAGGAACAGAAGCTAGGAACTAGGATCAGGAACTAGGAACAGAAGCTAGGAACTAGGAACAGAAGCTAGGAACTAGGAACAGAAGCTAGGAACTAGGATCAGGAACTAGGATCAGAAGCTAGGAACTAGGATCAAGAAGTAGGATCAGAAGCTAGGAACTAGGATCAGGAACTAGGATCAGAAGCTAGGAACTAGGATCAGAAGCTAGGAACTAGGATCAGGAATTACGAACAGAAGCTAGGAACTAGGAACAGAAGCTAGGAACTAGGATCAGGAACTAGGATCAGAAGCTAGGAACTAGGATCAAGAACTAGGATCAGAAGCTAGGAACTAGGATCAGGAACTAGGATCAGAAGCTAGGAACTAGGATCAGGAACTAGGATCAGAAGCTAGGAACTAGGATCAGGAACTACGAACAGAAGCTAGGAACTAGGAACAGAAGCTAGGAACTAGGATCAGGAACTAGGAACGGAAGTTAGGAGTTCAGCAGAGAGAAGAAACTGCAGCTTCATTGATTCTAACTGCTGACATCAGCAGAGTTAATTCTACACACAGTTGATCTGTTTATTTACACAGGAATCATCTGGTGTGATAGATTTATTTTTTTATTTTGTCATTTTGTATACACGAGTGTAAACAAAAGTAAATTTCGTTTAAAACAGCTCTAGACAAATTAATATTTTAAAGTGCAGCCTTGAAAACAGTCATAAATACATACAAAAATATGACTGTATATTTACAGTTCTAACATTCTTTTTTTTTTGATGGGATCAAATCTAAGTGCTGTATTTCTGGGGATCATCTCTGCTCCTGAAGAACCCCCCCCCCCCCATGCTAACAGACAGAGATGCTCACCGGCTGCAGGGATGGGCGGCAGCTTGCAGTGTTGGCCCTGTGGCGCCTGCGTTCTGCCGGGGACCCAGCTGCAGGGGTCCCTCACCGACTTCAGCCGTTCCTGCTTGATGTTCTCCAGCTTGATGGTGACGGCTCCTCCGTGGGCCAAAGACTTCCTCAGCTGAAGCTCCACCCCCGCCTGCTGCCCCCCACTGGAGACGGTAGAGTCCACCATGGGACCTTCGTCCGGCGCGCTGAGGTCCCCGAAGCTGCCCCCGCTGTGCAGCGCCATCTCTACCCCACTGTCGTTGTTGTTGGTGCTGCTAAGAGGCGACGGCTCGCTGCTGCATGACGACTGGCCACCAGGACTGGACTGATATGTCTGCAGAGAGAACAGCAGGGGGCAGCGTTCATGTTAGCGCCATTCTGCACTAATCCAACTGAGGCAATATATGATACAACTAAAGATGAAAAAATGAAATGAAGGAAAAACTAAAACCCAGCAGAACCACGCCACGTTCACAGGACTCCATTATGCATTAATCAGTGCTTAATAATTACCACCAAAGTTCAGACATTCTGACTGGAAAGATGTTTTGTAATAACTAATGCATGCTTGTTCTTCCACAGTCATTCATTATGGATGCTTGTGATTTATTGACGAGATGAAAACAAGAGCATAATAAATGATTTTATGTTAAAACGGTCCAGAACTGAGAGGTCTGATCACAGCGTGACACACATCGCTGAAACTTTCTGATTCTATGAATATTAATGTGACAGCAGCGTCCATTGTTCGCCGGCCAGTTCTGGCCCCGTTTCATGCAGCAATACATGAACATCAGACATGATGGAAAAGAGATGCAGCAGCAGAGCGAGCGCTCACCTCAGGGTCGGCTGTCCGGGTGTTGGAGAAGAAGCAGAAGGAAGCAACAAGCCAGAGAGTTCAGTGGGAAACATGCAGAGTTAGAACCGTTACCTTAAAGGGGAACGCCGGCGCACACAGATGATGTCATCCATGCGCTGCTTTGTTTTTAAAAGATATATAAAATCTAACTGTGGATGTCTGGGGGACAGTGATTGGCCTCCATGTTCTGAATGCTGGCGTACCATAAAGAATAAATGATGAACAGTTTAGTTTGTGCCTTCAAGTCGTTGCCCATAGGAAGGCGTTACTGGATATAACCTAACGGAATATCTTCAGAACGGCTCCAGATGACACTAAACTCATCTGGGAGAGTAGAACATGATGGAATAACGGGAAATCAAGGGGCCAATGTAAAGAAACAGCGTTCCCTTTTAAACACTCTACATGCTCTACATCTAGAATCATCCCTCTGTCCTCCCTGCAGAGCTTCAACAGCTGCACCTGGAATAACAACCCAGACCCTCTCTGATTGGAACCAGACCTGAACCTGGAGGGAGATTAGGGTGATGGTGAGGAGGCCTGCCAGCCTCACAGGCAGGGGGGGGATTTACCATTAGGCAATACTAGGCAGCTCCTGGGGGCCCCAAGTTCCTGGGGGCCCCATAAAACTCTGTTTCCATGTATGGTTAATACAACTATTCCTTATTTCTGCACATTAATTATAATTTTGATAAAAATCCTTTGGCTAAAATGCCATCAGAACGCTGATAATATTAAGTGTCTCTCAGCCCCCCCCCTCCAGTGTCCACCATATTGGATCAGTCCATTTGCTGCACATGTTCAGAAAGGTCCAAACAGACAGCAGCAAACCATTTGAAAACAAACCATGCAAAGAGCAGTGTTGCCAACTTAGCGCTTTAGTCGCTATATTTAGCCACTTTTCAGACCCCTCTAGCACTTTGATTTCTAAAAAGCTCCTAGCGCCAAATCTAGAGACTTTTTTCTGCTACTGGAGACTTTGGAGACAACATCTAAAAGCAGCGAACTCTGCTCTCCAGAGCCAGTAGATTGGTAACCCCGCCTCCTGCTCTCCTCTATCTTGTCTGCTGTCATGATTCATGCAGCTATTATTTCATCCAAATGAAAAATGGAGAACAGAGAAGCAGATCATGGCTTGTCTACAGTGAAAAGAAGGACTGGGTTATTTACTTTGGCCTTTTTGGAAACACAGGAAGGAGCAATCAGCTAAGTGAGCTTAGTGCTTGGAAAAAATCTTTCATTCCTTTAGAGACAGCATGAAAAGTCAGCTGAGTACAAAACATAGAGAGGAATTCCTTAAATGATCAACCAACTAACCAGCAGGAGCTGGTTTCCATTGATTATTTATCTGGAAGTTTAATTAAAATGGATCATTTTCTCGATAATTTCTTTAAACTGTGCAAAGATGTTTTTACTCTACGGAGGAATTATTGATCCATTATTGTTACTTTTGTAAATGGAAATCTAAGAATAAAAATCCAGAAATAAAATGGCGAAAAAGTTCATTTTAGGAGATTAACTTTAACCAGATTATTTTCTTTCTTTTATAGTTTTATTTAAATCTTTTATTTTGTTAAAAATCAATTTTTTAAAACTGAGTTTAAGGAATTTCTATTATTTTTAAAAGATCATGTTCTCCTCTCTATCAGCCCAGTAAAATGTTTCCACATCCAACAGGAGAATTAAGGAGTTAAAGAAAAAAAGAAAAAAATGAAAAATAAAATCAGCAAAGTATTTCTCTAAAACTTTATCTTTGATGGAGGTTTTATTTTCCCTCCATACTGGTCCCAGTTCCTTCTACTCTCACATAGAACTTCCTGTGTGAATACTTTAGGATCCAGAGGGGGGGAGAAGAGATCAGACGCCATATTTAAAGCACGGAGATGGCAGCATCATGCTGTGGGCAGAAGGATTTTAAACTGATGATGGTTCTAGAATCGTTCCCTCACTGAGAACTGAAGCCAGAAGATGGCCGCAGGTTTGTTCTCTAAACGCTTAGAGACGAGCTGAGGAGGAAACGTGTCATCGTACGATGGCGGCGCGCCGCAGGAACTCACCACAGAGTTCTCCGTCTTGATGGAGCGGACCTGCAGGCTGTCGTCTCCCCCCCTGGACGCCCCTTTGGCGTCGGCCTTGCCGTCGGCGCCGGGCGGGCCGCGTTTGGAGCTCGCCTCGTTCTCCCCGTTCCCTCTGGGCGGCGGCCGGGGCGGCGCCTCGCCGCGCTGCTTCTTGGTGACGTGGGCTTCGGGTCCGTGGACTGTCTTGACGTGCTTCCTGAGGGAGCTGGGGTCGGTGTATCGCTTGGTGCAGCCGGGGATCTTACAGACGTACGGTTTCTGCAGACAGAGAATCAGCGTCTGAAGGAAAGCAGGAACCAACCGACCTGGAAGGACAGAGGAAGCTGACGGCAGACCTACCTCATTGGAGTGGGTGCGGTTCTGATGCTTGGCGCGGTCCGACGCGTTGGAGAAGGCCTTGTTGCAGCCTTCGTGCTCGCACACGTACGGTTTCTCCCCAGTGTGCGACCTCAGGTGGGTCTTCAGGTTCTCCAGGCGGGAGTAGGCCTTGAAGCATCCCTCGAACTGCAGACAGAGACAAGCAGAACACGTTGGACGCTCCGCCGCCTACTGAGCAAAGCATTGTGGTAAAACATGTGCTGCGTGGCGTGGAGTCAGAGGAAGCGTTGCAGCTGTAATCTGCTATTGCCTCTGAGCGCCGCATTGTGAGCCGGAGAGACTTTGAAGTGAAAAGGGAATCAGAGAGCGGCGCCGCGTCAGAAGCTTCCTCCTCTAAGAAGCAGAGCCGGTTCTGAGACGCTGCATCTGGGACTTGGGAGCGGTTCAGAAGTTCAGCTCTAATAAGGACCCCTGGCCCCCCCGGCCTGTGAGCACGTTTTAATTACTCGCCCACGCCGTCAATCAGCCTCCCGCTCATCTGCTTTAACGCCTTGGCTGCAGCTGAGGCAGCTTTGAAGCTTCGATTTGATCTCCACACAGCAAAGCATAGCTTTAATAAATCTGCAGGACGCCGATCGCGCCGCCGCTGCTGGGGAGAAACGTAGAGAACCGCGAGCTGCGCCTCTGGACTGCCGCCATTTTCTCAATCTGAGGCCCCAAATAAAGGCCAGTTTAACGGGAAGAGCCGGACCCAGCAGCACCGCCCACACATGCAGCCAGAGAAGAACATTCCTGCTCCACTACGGCCTAGTCAAAGTCCAGACCTGAATCCAATCTGAGGCTGATGATGTTCTCAGATGTTCACTGCAAAAATTACCTTAAATAACAAAAAAAAAATCCTAAATTAAATGTATTTACCTTTAATTTGAGCAGATAAATGAGACGATTTGCCGAGTACTAGAGATAATCTGCACTTGGAATTAGAAAATGCAAATGTTCTTTCTTCCTTTAAATGTAAACTCTCCTGTTTTAATTAACAAAGTGTCTCATTTCCTCCTCAATTAAAGAAAAAAAGACTTATTTAGATTTCGATTGTTTCCAGTGTTTTCTGTCCAACTTGATTTGATGATTTTTTTTAACTATTTGACTTAAATCTACATTGAAGTAGATGCATATTAGTGAGCGACATGAAAACATGGAAAACAAATTATTATCCAGCAATTCCCTTTAATACTAAATAACAAACTTTGCTGAATAAAATAAGTATCTTAAAGGAATAGTACACCCAAAACATGATTAGCCTTCATTTTCTACTCACCCCCATGCTGAACAACACTCTGGAGTACTTTTTTGATATCTCAAATGCATCTGGAGATCTGGGAGGCTTCTTGCTGTCTGCTGACATTCAAATAATGGAGGTCTATGGCGCCCGAGGCAGAAAGGTCCATAAAAGTCCACAAAAAACGTGTCAATATTCCTCCATACTGCTCGTCCAATGTATTCCAAGTGTCCTGAGTGGGTAGCGTCCAGAATTTACTCGAAACGAAGTCATTTAGAATGTTTTTAGAGCATAAACAGTAGTGTATAGGATTTCCTGAAAGCGCGCACATGCGCGCTCACGACGCTACGGAAGCCGGCAGACCAAACCAGATGAAAGTGCGCATTCAGCGTCTGCTCTGCCGATAATGCAAGCGTAGAAGAAGAAATGTGCTGTTTACCTGTGCAAAGAAAGAAACAACGAAAGGAAAATGTCTGAGGACTTCAGTGTTGAGGAAGAGCATGAGTTCTTTGCCGAGCTGAATGCGCACTTTCATCTGGTTTGGTCTGCCGCGGTTTCCGTAGCGTCATGAACGCGCTTTCAGGAAATCCTATACACTACTGTTTATGCTCTAAAAACATTCTAAATGACTTCGTTTCAAGTAAATTCTGGATGCTACCCACTCAGGACACTTGGAATACATTGGACGAGCAGTATGGAGGAATATTGACACGTTTTTTGTGGACTTTTATGGACCTTTCTGCCTCGGGCGCCATAGACCTCCATTATTTGAATGTCAGCAGACAGCAAGAAGCCTCCCAGATCTCCAGATGCATTTGAGATATCAAAAAAGTACTCCAGAGTGTTGTTCAGCATGGGGGTGAGTAGAAAACGAAGGCTAATCATGTTTTGGGTGTACTATTCCTTTAAGCATAATCCTGTCCTGCTTCACTTCAAAGTGTAAAACAATAAATAAATGGTGTACATTTTTGGTGCAACAGCAAACTTGTAAACATATTTGTTCCTTAAATGCAGTGACGGAAGGCTACAGTTGGAAAACAGAAGATTAATCATTAGCTCGATGCCACATGATTAATTATTAATTAATTAATTAACTAATTATGATATTTCCTCTGAGCTCCTGCAGCAGTGAGGAGCTGCAGAGTAAAGCAGCATCAGCATTTAAATTCCTCCCTTCGTCTCCCATCCTGCTCTGTTGTCTCCCTCTATCTTCTCTGTGAGCAACGAGCTCAACCAATGGGATGAGGGGATTCTGGATCGTTATATATATGCTGTCAGCTCATTGGTCACAGACCAGGACAGGGGCGGGAACAAGTTGACCGTAAGTTTTGTATCTAAGGTGTCCTTGTTCTTCATTAACTGATTATTGTTTTACTCTCGCAGTAAAACGGGATAAAATGCGTTCCTTTATCGCTAAAGATGGGACGGGTACTTCTGTTAATAAATAGTTATAAACGGTTGGCAACCGTTAACCGGACTGAGCTGGAGGAGGTTCTACAGGGTTCTGACCCAGCAGGGCGGGACAGAAACACCTTTCAATGGTTTCCTTTAGTTTCAGTCGTTTCTGATCCGGTTAATGAGCAGAACTTCTCCCCAATGAGGTCCGGGTTGTGGTTCTGAGGGAAGCAAAGTCAGAAACCCAGAAGGTTCCGGTCCATCAGTGGAAACCCAGCAGGACTGAACCCGGACAGGAGACGGTCGGTCCTCTGCAGCACATCCAGCTGCTGCCCTTACCGTGCATTTGTGTGGCTTCTCTCCCGTGTGTCTCCTCATGTGGACCACCAGCATGTACTGGGCCTTAAAGGGCTTCTGCTCCCGGGAACACTCCTCCCAGCGGCACACGAACTCCTTCTTCTCTCCGTGGATGTGGTCGTTGTTGATGTGCTGAGGAGACAAACCAGCCGAGGTCAGTGATGACGCCATGATGATGACGCCATGATGCAGATCCTGCTGCTGATGGTCATTCTGGGCCGCGGGGCGGAGCCTCTACTGGAAACTGGATCTGAACTGAACTGAATGATTCAGTGTTTGATTAACATCGATCAAACAAATAGAAATTAATTATTTCAGCAGCTCATAGTTGGATTATTTACAGGATCTTAGATCCAGGAGATGTTCTATAACATCCCATCTGCTGCTGTAACTGTAACCGTCATTATTAATGAAATGTAGAAGAATAAAGCAGGTCTGGGTCTCGTCTCTATTTATACATTTCCATATAAAAAATGCTTTTTTATTTTTCTCTAAACATGAATCTGAATCATCCTTAAATTAAATCCCTAGAATTGAAACTAACTATGATCCGATACGACTCATTGAAGCTGGTTTAAGGCAGGAATTGAAGAAGTTTAACTGCATCAGCAGCCAAAGCGCCGCTGATCCTCGCAGAGATTTATTAATCCGCTCTATTCAGTTTATTTCTATAGCTCCAATTCACATCATGTCATCTCAGGTCACTTTATAGATCCACATCAACCAGATCATCCAGTCAGATTGATTCAAAGTTTTCTATCTAAGGAAAACCAGCTGATTGCATCGACTCATTGACTCTTCAGCAATCCCTCACACTAAGCATGCTTGTAGCGACAGTGGAGAGGAAAAACTCCCTTTGAACAGCAAGAAACCTCCAGCAGAACCAGGCTCAGTGTGAGCGGCCATCTGCTGAGGCCCACTGGGGTTCAAGGAGACAGAAGCAGACATAGAAAAAGCAGCATAGATACAAAAGGCAACTGTCAACCAGCTCCACAGGCGGCCCCGTCCAGGAAACACACAGCCAGGCAGACGAGCTCCGAGCCAGCTCCCATGTCAGAGGATGAAGAGAGCACATCCAGTTAGTCACAGTCAGAGAAACAGGACTACACTGGAAAACAGGCCAAGCTCCAACATCTAGAAACAAAGGTGTTGATGGCAGCAGCACAGCTGATATTTCTCTCCAGGATGGAGTCACAGCCAAACAGGAACAGACCAGATGAAGCTACTATGAGAAAAGCAGAGAGAGCAGAACGTTAGAGATTGAACTAACAGATTCTGCAGAGTGGGAGAATAGAGATAGAATGAAGCAGAATGATGAAAAAGGGGTCCCTATGTCCTCCAGCAGTCTAAGCCTATAGCAGCAGAACTATAGAGATAGCTCAGGATAACCTGAGCCACTCTAACTAGAAGCTTTATCAAAAAGGAAAGTTTTAAGCCTAGCCTTAAAAGTAGACAGGGTGTCTGCCTCACGGACTAAAACTGGTAGTTGGTTCCACAGGAGAGGAGCCTGAGAACTAAAAGATCTGCCTCCCATTCTACTTTTAGAAATTCTAGGAACCACTAGTAAACCTGCAGATTGAGAGCGAAGTGCTCTGTTAGGAACATAAGGAACAATCAGATCTCTGATATCAGATGGAGCTTGGCCATTTAAGGCTTTATATGTGAGAAGGAGGATTTTAAATTCTATTCTGGATTTAACAGGAAGCCGAACTTAGAACCAGTCATTCAGATAAATGTCACCAAATCATTTTATTATTCCAACATTAGCAGATTGAATGACAGTTGCCGGGGTTTTTTTAAAAATCTAAATGGAAACCTAAAAGACTTTTATCAGGGTTTAATTAGCATACCATTACCTAGCCGTTAAGCTAACGCTAACCCTTAGCTTGGACTCTTCAGTCTCATGTTGAAAGGATCTTGCATGTCGCCTCTCTCAGCCGACACGTTTCATTTTGGCATCCCGTTCAGATGTTACTATGACTGCTGGAGGCAGCGTCGCTCTGTCAGCCTCCATGTTCACGGTTAGCATAAACGGTCGATCGGCTTAAGCGGCCATGTTTGGTCTCTCAGAAAAGGAATCTGACGTTTGTCCCATGTTGCTGTCTGCCTTTATTCAGTAAGTTACTAACACAGTCAGCCTTTACTTTGATTTTATAGTTGCAGTCTGAGTCTTAGTGTTTGATTTAATCAATATGTTAGCATGACGCTGTGCGTTAGCTCCCCTGCTACTGTCTGAGGCTGCAGAAGAGAAGCTGGTGATTAACAAGGAGAGTTTATGTTGCTGCAACGCATGGAGAAAATCCTGACCACAGGTCGAAGCCTTGCTCCAGAACCAGAACCAGAACCAGAACCCAGACCTTCTGTTTGGTTTGATAAATCCTGTAATGCTAAGCTAAGCGTGTCAAACACAAACAATGCTAACCCAGTCTAAAATCAGTCTTTTTCCTTCTCTGTGAAACAGTAAAAAGTTTCTGATCTATTCTGTTCTGCTGGCAATGGAAACTTACGACAGTCTTTTTTTATTTCGAGAATAAAGTCGTAAAATGTTGAGAATAAAAGGTAAAATTATGAGCATAAAGTCATAAACTTATGAGACTAAAGTCGTAACATTACTAGAATAAAGTCCTAAAATTATGAGAATAAAGTTATATTTTCTGACAACTCTTCCCAGAAGCTCTTTCTTCCCTAAAATGAGGAATGTGGAGCATCATGTGAAGTTCTACTTTAGCATCAGTTTGAATAATCAGGAAATAGCAGCAGCAGCATCAAACTGGGCAGGATGTCAAAGTGGACTCTGGTTGCTGATTGGTGGAGCTGGTCGGCCGTCATCTGCTGGGCGGAGCTCCAAGCTTTCTTTCTCAACTCAACTCAAACTTTATTTATAAAGCACATTTAAAACAACCGGGGTTGACCAAAGTGCTATACAGGAATCACAGTTAAGGAACATCTGAAACTGGTTGTGGTTTGATGACTTCATTCTTGTAATGTTAGAACTTTATTCTCATAGTTTTATGACATTTTTCTCATGATGTCACAACTTTATTCTCGAAATCAAAATAAACTAATCCCTAGTCTGGCCTTTATTCTCTGTGGTAGAAACTAGTCTTCTGGTCGGAACAGAACCAAAGGCTAATGAGGGTCCGGCGTCCTGTAGGCCTCCTTCCAACGGATCTGCAGATATCAGACGTTTCCTTCCTGTTGCTCTGAGGAGGATCTATGTGTGGAGAGCGTGATGGTGGATTTATGGAGGCCCCCGGGGGTTGCGAGGACCAAGAGGTCAGGGGTCAGAGGTGACGCGGCTCTGTGGGGGAGGGGTGTTGGCTCATTAACATGAATCGTGTCAAGTAAACAGGAAGGAATCGGTCACAGAACGCCTTTCTGACCGGAGCCAATCAACACTCCGTTAACTGGTTGGGTTTGGGTTCTAATGGACCCGTTGGAGATGAAGGACCGGTCGGTCGTCATCTGCTGGGAAGATGCAGAAGAAGCTTCTTCTCATCAGGCCTCCACTGGACAACTAATTTATTCAATAGTTTTTGTTGCAGGTGATTTAACGCCGTAACGTTGACTCTCTGGAGCTTCCGTAGTTGGAGTATTACTCCCACAGTGCGGTTTAGCCAGCAAGCATAGCTACCACTGAGAGTGGGAACGGTGGAAAACAATCCTGGAAGTGGTCGCTTTGCACAAAGCTACAGACATGTTGCCCATATATATTATGAGCTTCTAGTTAGAGAGGCTCTATAGTTCTGCTGCTATAGGCTTAGACTGCTGGAGGACATAGGGACCTCTTTTTCATCATTCTGCTTCATTCTATCTCTATTCTCCCACTCTGCAGAATCTGTTAGTTGAATCTCTAACGTTCTGCTCTCTCTGCTTTTTCTCATAGTAGCTTCATCTGGTCTGTTCCTGTTTGGCTGTGACTCCATCCTGGAGAGAAATATCAGCTGTGCTGCTGCCATCAACACCTTTGTTTCTAGATGTTGGAGCTTGGCCTGTTTTCCAGTGTAGTCCTGTTTCTCTGACTGTGACTAACTGGATGTGCTCTCTTCATCCTCTGACATGGGAGCTGGCTCGGAGCTCGTCTGCCTGGAGTTTTTCCTCTCCACTGTCGCTACAAGCATGCTTATCGTGAGGGATTGCTGAAGAGTCAATGAGTCGATGCAATCAGCTGGTTTTCCTTAGATAGAAAACTTTGAATCAATCTGACTGGATGATCTGGTGAACTGGAAAGTGACCTGAGATGACATGATGTGAATTGGAGCTATAGAAATATACTGAATAGAACTGAATTTATAACATATTTCTAATTGGTAAAAGTTTAACCAAAAGAAAAAAAAAGAAAGAAATTGAGCTTTATTGATGTCACAAAGGAGAAATTCCCTCTCTGCATTTAACCCCTCCCCTTGGGGAGCAGTGTGGGGTTAACAGTCTTGCTCAGGGACCCAGAGTGGCGGTCTGTGGGATTCTCAGCTCTATGCACTAACCACTCGGCCACTGCTCCCCACCGGTCTTATTTTCAAGTTTACTTAAAAATAATCTGTGTTTAATGTAAACATGCAGAACAGAGCGCTGCGATTGGAGGGATGTTAATAAGGAGGCGGGGAAATCAGAAAAAAAATGATTTGAATTAAAACTAAAATGATCAGAGGTTTTATTTTAGTCCTTATCGCCCAGCCCTAGATCAGCTCCAGTTACATGAAGTTCAGCACGTCCAGCTATTATTTATATACTTTCTTCTCCGTAAAATGAATTAATTTATCCTGCTTCACTCTCTGTTGATGTAACATTAACACTTTAAAGGGCAAAATAGCATTTTGATCACTTGCACCCCCCTACTGAGGAAGTATTTCTACCATCAAAATATATTTTCTTAATGTTCCAAAGGTCATAAGTTCTGGTCCTGGATTCCAAGAACAATACTGGCTGGAAATTTGGATTTTAAAAGTATTTCACTGAGTGATCTATAAAGGATTAAGAGTTTCAGCTGTGACATTCAACCTTTCCTAACTGGATTATTGGACATTAACCGACTGGTTTTATCTGATTTGGTTCTTCCTTAGAGGCTGAAGATGCTGAGCTCACATGGACCAGCTGGTCCTGGGTGTCGTACTCCTTGGAACATCCCTCCCAGTGACAGTTGGTCTCGTAAATGGCCTCTGGCTCCTGCTTGCACTCATCTTTATCCAAATCTTCGCTCAGGTCCAGGACCCCCCCTCCCTGCTCCTGGAGGACAGTAGAGATATTACAGTTTTACATCTCTGACATCTGATCAGTTCCAGCGTAAAATGATCAATAATAAAAAATAAGATCAAGGTTTCATTAACTGATGAAAACCAACTGGAGGCTAATGAGGACCTGGAGGAAAAGTTGGTCTCCAGGTGTTTTTGTTGAAGCAGCTGTTCAGGTGTTTATGAGGACAGCTTGATGCTCCTACCTGAGAGGATGGGGAAATAGGAACTGGACCCTCTGCCTCTGTTTTCACCTTTGTCCTCTTGGTGTTCAGTTGGTTTACGGTGCTGCTGACCGCCGGATCTCCACTGGCATTCTGAACAAGACACACAAAAAGCCTGAAGTTAGATTAAGATGATCATCAAACTCCTGCATTGGTCTCTGGAACAACCAGGAAAAGAAATCCTGTCAGTTCCCAGGAATCTGGAACAGCTTTCAGGTGCAGAGAAACTGTCCTTTAAAGTAGTTTCTGAACAGAACAATTCTTAATGAATCTCTTTTAGTGTCGTAGTTAAGACCACAACAACCTAGACCAAGCAGTGCAGAGACATTTAGAGGCTGAGACATAAGTATAAAGTCCTGTCCTCGTCTCATTACTCCTTGGTCTTGGTTTGTGTAGTCTTGACTACGACACCAATCGCTGCCAACCAGAAGGAGCCTGTCTGGCTAGTTTGAAAGGTAGGAGTGGAGGTTTGATGGCAGGGAGAACCACGTTATACCATCCAAGCTCTCGGTTCAGTCAGTTCCAGGATAAAAATTGGTCCCTCTTTCGTTTCTCAAGAGATTTGTCTCATTTCTTTTTTTTTTATTTCAAATCAGACGGTTTATTGGGGGATCATCCAGGATTCCTCATCCTGTTCTATCATAATGTTGAGCGATAACAGTTTCATAGCAAATAACAGCTTAAGAGGGTCGGAAGGTCCGGGTATGAGGCAGAACCATGACTTGGATCTGAAACTGTGGCAGACCGGAGTTTAGAACAGGACCAGGCCTGGATGTCTGTTCTGATTCACATCTGTTGGACTGTGGGCACATTTCATACCGATGGACTTGGGATCCAACAATCCACTAAACTCTCCATTACTATGCATGATTCATCCAGTCATGAATTCTTTCTACTCATCAGATCATTTTTAAAGCATTTATTTAGACTTTTCAAACACTAGATTCCTCTCAGATAGCTCAGCTATTTCAGCAGCACCAGGGGGGGCTGTTAGCAGAACTAGTGCATCATGTTTAGACTCAACAGTTCAGAATCCTTCAGGCGTCACAGAAATATGAAAGAAGAGGATTTATTGCCCTTTTATATGTAGGACCAGATGCAGAGCTGGGGTCTGTTGCATTAAAAATGGGGGGGGGGGCTTTGATCAACCCACTGAACGTGACAAAAAGACTAATGGAGACACAGAATGAAAGCGCTGATATAAACGAGAGCTGAAGCGTATTGGAGAAGGTCCAACCTTGGAGGGGGTCCTCTAATCCCACCCAGACCCCGTGTCTTTCATCCAGTATGGTTCTGATCAGTGCTAATAAAGCTGCATAAATGTGGAGGCGCTCTGAGCAGAACCAAAGCTGCAGAAAGGCGGCATTGGTGTGATGTTGACGTATGCAGCGGCTGCAGCGTAAAGACGAGAAATAAGGAGACAGAGCTGCATGGTTCAGGCCAGAAACAGCAGATATTTACAGCTGGTACTGAGTCCAACCAGATCTTTGTAGTTCTGATCTGGACCAGTGGCAGAAGTCTCTGAGAAGCAAACTGGTTCAGCTGCTTGTTTGGAAAGTTCAGAAGATGAGAAGGAATATTATCAAATCCTCTGAGAAAGGTGAGGTATTTCATGGAGCAACTCCAAACTAACCAGCTGAGCTTCTTCTGATGGTTCTGCATCCAGAAGGATCATCAAACACCAACTGCTAGAACCTGATAGAACACGGATCACTCTGGAGAACATTCTTCCTGCTCTAAGATCCAGACTTCATGGAGCAGACAAGAACCCAGATTTTCACCTCAGAGGGGAGATCTGCTCCTTTGACCTCTGATATTCTGAGATGGACCATCATTGATCAGAAATCCAGCTGTTTGTTGGAAGAAGAGGATCTGGGGTGGTATCATGGTACGGGCTTGGGTCATTTCCTCTCTGCTGATGCAATGATGCAGAAAATAGATTTGTTTTTCTCTGCTAATCTGTTTCACTCCAGTCCAGTAGGGGGCAGCAGTGCGTATATCAGAAGTTTCAGTAAATCGTAGTACTGAAGGACGTGCATGGAAGGAGATAGATAACATCAGGAAAAAAAAAAAATAAGAAAATGGAGGAGCTTGGAAGGAGAGAGGGAAAAGTAATAAAATTACACACTAACACTGTTATTGGCCAAACTAGCATGAAAACAATCTGGATCGAAACCAGCATGAAAAAAGTCTGGATCCAAACCAGCATGAAAACAGTCTGGATTCAAACTAGCGTGAAAACAATCTGGATCCAAACTAGCGTGAAATCAGTCTGGATCCAAACCAGCATGAAAAAAGTCTGGATCCAAACCAGCATGAAAACAGTCTGGATCCAAACTAGTGTGAAAACAATCTGGATCCAAACTAGCGTGAAATCAGTCTGGATCCAAACTAGCGTGAAAACAATCTGGATCCAAACTAGCGTGAAATCAGTCTGGATCCAAACCAGCATGAAAAAAGTCTGGATCCAAACCAGCATGAAAACAGTCTGGATCCAAACTAGTGTGAAAACAATCTGGATCGAAACTAGCGTGAAAACAATCTGGATCCAAACTAGCGTGAAAACAGTCTGGATCCAAACTAGCGTGAAAACAGTCTGGATTCAAACTAGCGTGAAAACAGTCTGGATCCAAACTAGCGTGAAAACAGTCTGGATCCAAACTAGCGTGAAAACAGTCTGGATCCAAACTAGCGTGAAAACAGTCTGGATCCAAACTAGCGTGAAAACAGTCTGGATCCAAACTAGCGTGAAAACAGTCTGGATCCAAACTAGCGTGAAAACAATCTGGATCCAAACTAGCGTGAAAACAGTCTGGATCCAAACCAGCGTGAAAACAGTCTGGATCCAGACTAGCGTGAAAACAATCTGGATCCAAACTAGCGTGAAAACAGTCTGGATTCAAACTAGCATGAAAACAGTCTGGATCCAAACTAGCGTGAAAACAATCTGGATCCAAACTAGCGTAAAAACAGTCTGGATCCAAACCAGCGTGAAAACAGTCTGGATCCAGACTAGCATGAAAACAGTCTGGATCCAGACTAGCATGAAAACAGTCTGGATCCAGACTAGCGTGAAAACAATCTGGATCCAAACTAGCGTGAAATCAGTCTGGATCCAAACCAGCATGAAAAAAGTCTGGATCCAAACCAGCGTGAAAACAGTCTGGATCCAAACTAGTGTGAAAACAATCTGGATCGAAACTAGCGTGAAAACAATCTGGATCCAAACTAACATGAAAACAGTCTGGATCCAGACTAGCATGAAAACAATCTGGATCCAAACTAGCGTAAAAACAGTCTGGATCCAAACCAGCGTGAAAACAGTCTGGATCCAGACTAGCGTGAAAACAGTCTGGATCCAAACTAGCGTGAAAACAGTCTGGATCCAAACTAGCGTGAAAACAGTCTGGATCCAAACTAGCGTGAAAACAGTCTGGATCCAAACTAGCGTGAAAACAGTCTGGATCCAAACTAGCCAGACTGAAAACAGTCTGGATCCAAACTAGCGTGAAAACAGTCTGGATCCAAACTAGCGTGAAAACAGTCTGGATCCAAACTAGCGTGAAAACAATCTGGATCCAAACTAGCGTGAAAACAATCTGGATTCAAACTAGCATGAAAACAGTCTGGATCCAAACTAGCGTGAAAACAGTCTGGATCCAAACTAGCGTGAAAACAGTCTGGATCCAAACTAGCGTGAAAACAGTCTGGATCCAGACTAGCGTGAAAACAGTCTGGATCCAAACTAGCGTGAAAACAGTCTGGATCCAAACTAGCGTGAAAACAGTCTGTATTCAAACTAGCGTGAAAACAGTCTGGATCCAAACTAGCGTGAAAACAGTCTGGATCCAAACTAGCGTGAAAACAGTCTGGATCCAAACTAGCGTGAAAACAGTCTGGATCCAAACTAGCATGAAAACAGTCTGGATCCAAACTAGCGTGAAAACAATCTGGATCCAAACTAGCGTGAAAACAGTCTGGATTCAAACCAGCATGAAAACAGTCTGGATCCAAACCAGCGTGAAAACAGTCTGGATCCAGACTAGCATGAAAACAGTCTGGATCCAGACTAGCATGAAAACAATCTGGATCCAAACTAGCATGAAAACAGTCTGGATCCAGACTAGCATGAAAACAGTCTGGATCAAAACTAGCGTGAAAACAGTCTGGATCCAAACTAGCATGAAAACAGTCTGGATCCAAACTAGCATGAAAACAGTCTGGATCCAATCTAGCATGAAAACAATCTGGATCCAAACTAGCATGAAAACAGTCTGGATCCAAACTAGCGTGAAAACAGTCTGGATCCAAACTAGCGTGAAAACGGTCTGGATTCAAACTAGCGTGAAAACAGTCTGGATCCAAACTAGCGTGAAAACAGTCTGGATCCAAACTAGCGTGAAAACAGTCTGGATCCAAACTAGCGTGAAAACAATCTGGATCCAAACTAGTGTGAAAACAGTCTGGATTCAAACTAGCGTGAAAACAGTCTGGATCCAAACTAGCGTGAAAACAGTCTGGATCCAAACTAGCGTGAAAACAGTCTGGATCCAAACTAGCGTGAAAACAGTCTGGATCCAGACTAGCGTGAAAAAAGTCTGGATCCAAACTAGCGTGAAAACAGTCTGGATCCAAACTAGCGTGAAAACAATCTGGATCCAAACTAACATGAAAACAGTCTGGATCCAAACTAGCGTAAAAACAGTCTGGATCCAAACCAGCGTGAAAACAGTCTGGATCCAGACTAGCATGAAAACAGTCTGGATCCAGACTAGCATGAAAACAGTCTGGATCCAAACTAGCGTGAAAACAGTCTGGATCCAAACTAGCGTGAAAACAGTCTGGATCCAAACTAGCGTGAAAACAGTCTGGATCCAAACTAGCGTGAAAACAGTCTGGATCCAAACTAGCGTGAAAACAGTCTGGATCCAAACTAACATGAAAACAATCTGGATCCAAACTAGCATGAAAACAGTCTGGATCCAGACTAGCATGAAAACAGTCTGGATCCAAACTAGCATGAAAACAGTCTGGATCCAAACTAGCGTGAAAACAGTCTGGATCCAAACTAGCATGAAAAGAGTCTGGATTCA